ATATAATTCTTTTCTGATCTGATCTAAATGTTTGTTTTGTTTGATTTACTTTTTTGTTCAGTTTGATGGTTTTTTTTTTCGTAATGTAACATTCTAATCCTTCAATTTGTAACTTCCCTATGTATGTAATTTTTAGCCCTGAGGAAGACTAAATATATAGTCGAAACGTAGGCCTTTTTCAAGAAAATAAAGAGTTTCTGTTCACCGTCCCAAACCCGCTAAACAAACGAACTAAATTCGATCTTCAACTGTTAATATCTCCCAGAAATTTTCGAAAAAAAAGTTTTCAATATTTTTATCGTACTCCCCAATGGCCTCTCTCACCCCTTGAAAGGAATGACGCCAATTTTGAATCACCCTGTATATTTTGATGGAACAATCGAGTTCAGCCGTTTTGGACAAGTAGTGAATTCTTGAGTCTCGCTGTTTCATCAAAATATGAGTCTTACATAAGAACAAATTCACAGCGAGTTTCACCAAAATACATCGTACCATTCTCCCGGTATTTCAAAAAATTGATTTTTTTAAAGAACTTTAACCATCAATAGCGGAGAAGCCACACATTTTTGGTTGATAAAAGTTAGGTCGTCTTCTTTTGATCCAAAAAATGTCGCAATTCCCCTTTGATCATGTGCATACGGGACACCATCTATATCTATGAGAGAAAAATACAAAAGCATTACGGTGGACAATCATCGGTTGGTAGAAGATAGAAGTAGCTTCATCTACACCTAAATATTTATTGATTTAAATAATCTCAATCTCAGTCCCTTTCTGACTACAAAAGATACTAGTTGATAATGTAAGAGGTTCTAAAATTATTCAGTTTTTGATTGAATTTGACTTATGTGAAACAACTCAATTTGCAAAATATGCAAAACTGTTTGAGTAACAGCTGCGTTTCCAGCTAAGGGCAAACTTTTTTACAATCTTCAACCAGCACCGTCAACTAAAGCAGGAATTTAAGGAAATACCCATCTTTTTGAAGCTGGTTTCTCATTTGATTGACTTCCATCCAAATTGTATTCAAGTGTAATGTGAATGTAGAAAACGTCCACTAGCACTTCAACGTTTCACAAAAAAGCTGAACAAAAGAAAAATTATCAGAAAATTCATAGAAAATCACCCAGAAACCCTACTGGGCTTATGTTTGTACACATTCAAAACACGTACAAAACTTCTTAAATTGGACACCAAATTCAAAAATTTGTCCGGTCGAAGTCAGTGGCGCACCACAGAAAACTTCGTGGGGTAAAGGGGGTTATGACACTCGAAAAAAGAAACAACTTGTAGATTTTCTCAACCAGTTAGCGCACCCCTACTGGTAGAGGGTCTAAACAGTAGCCTGTGAGCAAAATATTTGTATCTCATTAACCATGGGCCTGTTGGTTGGAGGTTGTGAATCACCCTGTATAACGTTAACAGTTATAATTTTGAGGGTTAACCTACTTGCTGATTTCGGTGCCATTAAGTGCAACTGGCATGCCAAAACGTCGAAAACCATTCAGCACGTTTGCGTTGAAAACAAAGGTATCCAATAAAGCACAGGCATCATATAATTAACGCAGCTTAAAATGTTTGTTACACAATACCAACGCGGCCGTGCTATAATTTCCTAATATTATCCTTGAAAAAGAGATGTTCGAAAACCCGTTTGGCAATAACCTCCGAATTGCCGTTGACCCATAGCACATTCCATTTAAATTACTTAAAAAGCGGCCAAATTTAAAAACAATGGCTTCTCAACGTTTGTTTCCGGGGTCAAGGAAGACTATCGCAGCCGGCGACTGTCTACCTACGTTTTTGTAGATCAATCAGTTTTTTTGCAGCAGCATGCGAAGGACTTTTTGTTTGGGCGAATGGTCCTCATATGGCTATTATAACCGACCAATCGTTTTAATTCCACTGGTTTAAACATACATATTTAACCACTTTTTACTCAGGACTCAGTCTTATCATTTCTTGACTCTTTCAATCATGCTTGTCCAATCAGAGTCCTTTTTCAAGATGATTGTCACGATTCGACGCGTCCACCTTGGTACTTTGTTTTGCTTTGTATTATTCATATAGAGCCCCTGTTATTGCAGACTTTCATCGATCACTATCAAATTTTATAGGAGATATTGCGTTGCATTATTACCTTGATATTAATTTTTAAATTACATTATCCCAGCATCTTAAATAGGTAGGGTGTGAGATGAGAACTCCTTCCTATCCTATAGTTTTTTACAATTATAGAGGATACTTTCGACTGTATCATTACATTTGTCTAATTCCGCAACTGGAATGTTAGAAATCGCGTTTTTGCCTCATAATGTCTATTTTATTCGAGATAAGTTATTGGTGGAATGAAGAAGTGAAGGTGAAAATAAGCGAAGAACGAAAGAAATGATGATAATTGTGCCAACGAGTGCACAAATAACGGCAGGCACAAACCTTATTAGTGACAGGGTTTGCTGCAAACCTACTGCGCATGTGCATATGTCAATTTAGCGGCGGCACTATTAGTGGTTCAGCTGCAATGTGTGCTGCAGATCTCTGTAATGTTGAAAGCGCGTGGAAAATATTCAGCCCATTGGAATTATGTGGACACACGAAACTAGATGTTTTCATTGAAATGTAGAGATGTAATTTGGTGCAATAAATGCATGCCCAGGAATAATCGCTAGCCTCAAGTAGGTCGATCTGAAGTTAGGAAAGCGCCAATTATCGCAGCTACAGCCTGAAAATTCTTACCGTAGAGTGATCACAAGAATTACTAGCACAAAGTATACAAACAACAACTGGTCGCAGTCATCTTGATTTTGTATAAATACCTTCTGGCTTTCGGTCATTCTAAAATAGGGCTGTTTGGCATGGTGCCAACCATCCGCGTGCTGTCCATGTCAATCAGGGCACGCTTAAAGAACGTACCGTACGCATCTGAAGCGAAAACACTGAAAATAAATGTAGATATGTAATAAGGTATTTAACTTTGTATGGAATATTTATAGGAGGAATGTGGCACTAACGTGTGCTGTTTGTGTTGTTGCAGGTACTGCGAATTGGTTACTGCTCTGCCTCACGAAACTAGGTTGAAATACTAGACATCAACAGAAGATGGTACTACCGAGCCATCAGGGCTCGGCCAAAATATGCAGCTTACTCAAGGTCGCCATTTTTCGAAAAGACTTCGTATTCAACTGGGATCCAACGCGTGCGCGGTGTTTAACATAAGCTGCACACATTCATCAAAGACTAATAATAATCAAACCAGAAATCTCAACAGTAATTCCATTAATAATATCCTTACGCTTAAGCAGATTAGTATTCTATGCATAAAGACAACGTCAGCATCACTACTTAATCCCATTTGTATAGAACTATGAATATTAGCATCCTTACGACTAACCATATACATATCATCAAGGTAGGCTTCAAAGAGTAACACTGACGTCACCGTGGTCTCTTTGTATGAAGGGTTGCTGGTCAAGATTCCGACCAGAGCCCTTACGGCTTACCCACTGGCCTCCCTATTATTCTACGTCATCATCTTTTTGACAGCGGTGGTCCGGGCCTCCAGCACACCGTTTAAATACCCTCATAATTCCAAACTCATAACCTCTTCCAGTTTAGTTTTAAGGAAAAGTGATACTAGCATAATACCCCCTAGTTCTAAAACTCACTATTCATATTCAGCCCTTCAAAGCGCCAATAGTATCGACCTTACCGACCCGACCCGATCTGGTGAAAGACACTTAACCCAACCGACCGACGACAATAGTGTTAGAAATTCCGAAGTTTTCAATAATAGTGATAGTGACGACATTTTAAAGGAAAGTGTAACGAAATTTTCGACGCGACTTAACAATACGCGAACCGAAACTTTTAAGAGGGCGAAGTCTTCATACGTCAACCCAAATTCGACTGTCACCGGGGGACGGAAGACTTTCGACAGCGTTTACTTGTCCATGCCATCGGCGCATGCGCAGGATACAGACTCATGTAAGTGTCCATTCTTTTGTTTGCTTCTTCTGTTCATTCGTGGCCTACTAACCATTCTACAATTTTTTTTCGATTTCACATCATTTGTGAATCAGCGTCTACTTTTTTTGGGGGGAAATTGGCTTAGAAATATTGTATCGTGAGTGAGTGTGCACTACGGTGTACCAGAATTATTTTTATAAACGTGCCCTTGTACGAAAAATATCGAAAAATATAAGATTTGTGGCGAGACAGAATTAGGTGACGATTTTTGGGTTTAAAAGAAATTTTTTATTTTTTTAGCAGTTTTTTATTAGTGCAAAGTTGTTTTGGTAACTGTTTGGATGTCGCTGTTATTTTGTCCGAGAGGTTGTCTATGTCCCTTTCGGCTAGTTTTTCAATAGATTCTAATTTTTTCTACATACAACGGCATACTAATCAGCTTGAATTCACCTGTCTTTAGTGGCCGTACATTTAACGTGGACGGTTGGGTAAATTGGCGACAGAGTTATCTGATTGTGCTTTTAAAAATCCTTCATCAGCCATTTTCGACAATAATCCACTAAACAATATTCATACCTTCATTCGATTCAAATGAACATACGGGCCAACGTGCCCTATGACGTCAGACCTATAGCGCTTTCGCAAGAGGTCCAGTTGATCAGATTTGGGAGCGGATTAAATAGCAATATACTTGCAAAATACTAGTGTCTTTATATGCAACAAAGCTTGTATTCTAGTATGTTTTTAATCAGAAAAAAAATTCAGGCAAAACCCTGTTGTAATGAGTACAAATGTAGAATAAATTCGCAATTGTACTGCATCTGTGCACCATCGAAAAACAAGTGGGTACTTGGCTTAAATTTATGTAAATTGTTTAATTTTGTGGTTTTCTGCGGACCACTATCTGGCCCGCAGACGCGATATGACATCGTTAGGACCTTATTTACGTTCTGAGATATTTCTTTTAATGAAGAGAACGGACAAGTATGACATTTTCGAGCGCATAAAAATAATAACGGTGCCTACGTAGTGTCGTTTGTGTTAACATAATGGACAGTGTCAGTCTGTTTAAAGTAGTTTTCAGAATTATTAGTGCTGTCGAGTCTAATGACTTCGTCTTTATCTTGATGCAACCACATTTTTATTGGTCACAGTAATCTTGAATGCACTTGTTGACTTGCTTATGCAGACATTAAATTATACAATATGCCTTTGCAATAACAGGCCGTTTTCAGTCAAACTTAAAAAACCACATTTTTTGATCAAACTCTGTAGTCTTCAGACGACTTGAGGTGACGCGATTTCCAAATAATCTCTCATAAACTTTTGCTTATTCTGTACGTTTTTTAATAGAAAATCATTTGATTTTGTTCCAAATGCGACGATGGAAAGGGATTTCAAAACTTTTTGCAAAGCGACCAACTTTTCACAATTTTTTCAAGTTTGGCAGCATTTTTCAGTGAAACTTTGAGCCTTTAGAACAATGGGTAACTTGGCTAAAACTGAAAAATTCTCAAATTTTCCAGAATCGAAGGTGAGATAAGTTATTTTTCTAAAGTTCTAGAAACAGTTCTAAAGAAGACTATGGAGAAATGGGTTCCAGGGGGGACAAGGCGAACAACCTCCTTAGATTAATTGAGGAAAGAATAAAGTATCGAAATAGAGAAGTGGAAAAATACGGAGAAATACCCAAAACATTAAAAGGGAAATGACGAAAGCGAAAGAAACAGCCTAACAAATGATGAATGAATGAATTTGAATTTTCGCCAGTGTACAGAAGAGGTTTTACCGGTTGTCGCCATCAATTAACTCAATTTAAGTGGTCGGTTTCGCAAAACTATTTCACCCATTCCGAACTATCATCTAGACTTTGCTTGTTTAACTTATGAGTTGAGCGTCTGTGGCACAAAGCGCAAAGGGAAATTCAAACTGCCGTTCATTTTGTTAGGATAATTTGAATTTGCTGCCCAATTTATTCGGCGCTACCGGACTTTTGCGGTTGCGGCAGTTTCTAGTAAGCATGTCTGCTACGCAGGCAAACAAAATTTATGGAATGGCTAAAATCGTTTTCATTCTTCTTCCTGGACTGTTGTGTCGTACAAAATGTAAACTGTTTGCCCAAACACCTGCACATCGGATTTTTTATGCTGATGTGTTTTACTTTACAAAATATTACAAAAGAACTTACATGTGATTTGCATAACACCTTCCGCATCATTAGCCCATTAGAGAGGGCGTTTTGAGGCCGATGTTGACGCAGCTGGAAAAAATCAGAATTCTGCGCGATTTTCACGAATATTTCAGGCATTTAAGAATCACACTTCAATTTCAAGTTATTACTTGCCTTAGTGTGGAAGATACCAACTTTTAGCAGATTGGGCGCAGTTGAAATAACTTACATTTTGATCCTGATGTTTACAAAGTTGTCAAAAATCAGGATTCCGGGTGATTTTCATGAAACCTTCCTCATCATTAGAGCCAACTTTCGTCTAAATATGGTGCAAATTTCACGTTGCTACCGCTTTTAGTTTAAATGATACGAAATTTTCAAATGGGCGATTTTTTAACGGGAAAAGCGCGGTTGAGTAAAACAGTTTGTCAGCGCGATTTTTATCCTTTTGACCGGTTGACAACCGGTTTTGGTCATCAAATGACCAAGAAATGCCCAGAAAATGGCAAAATTTGTTGCTTATGCTAATGCAACCCGCAGTTTTTAGCCAAATATTACAGTATTTTCTCGTGAATTTAACAACGATTAACATCGATTTCGTCCTTTCAAAATGCTACTGCAGAACTATTGATAAATCCTATTGATACTGACAAATGTTTGGAAGTTGGACGCAAAAATTGTTCCAAACGTGTAGGGAAATTTCGCGATATGTTGAAAAAATCGGGAAGAAGAAAACGTTTCAAGTTAAGTTGTGTGAGTGGTGAAAATCGTGCAGTTTCGGAGTGAGAGTGAGAACTGTGCGTATTGCAACTTCTGCTAATGCATTTGATGGATTTCATGATGGAGCAACAGTTTAGAGTTTCTGAAAATGCGGAAAATTTAGCCGATGAGTTTAGTAAAGCTTCTGAGTTGACAAACAATAATCAAAATATGTTCTATTCTGTGCTGTAAGTCTATCTTTCTTTTTGTTGCTCTTAAGGTTCCACCTTTCCACTTTTAACGGTTCGTCTAATTCAGTACAGAAAAAGTGATTGGAGCGTATTAAAAATTTCATTTTCCTGCAGGTCTGGTTTGTGCCAGCAGTTGCATATTATTGTAATATAGAAAACAGTTTGATTTATAATTGTACCCGAAATATTTAGATTTAAGGTGCGCGATATCTATTTCTGTTACTATTAGTAATGCAGTAATGATGTCAAAAGGTAAACATGGCATGGAGTAATTACTCGGTCGCTTTGTTGCCAAATGTTTCGCAATTTGTTTGTCTGGTCCGTTGTTATTCAATTGAAATTATACTACATAAACACAAGGGAGTGAATAGCGCATTTTTGTGGGTTCGTTTTCTGCGGGTCAATAAACTTCTTTATTTTCCTCTTTATTTTTCGTCTGTAGGTAAAATGGTTTTTATTGTAATTGGTCCAGCTTCCCAAGAACGTTTCCCTTATTTTCACTATTATATAATGTACCAACTTGTGTTTTAATGTTCATTCGGTTTTACGGAATATCGGCAACAAGGAAAACAATAAAGAGCGAGTTTAAATCGGGACTAGACTTCGTGACTAGCGTGGAGGCATTTCGCTCATTCCAATCAGAAATAGATCTGTTGGCGTATAGTAAATTTATTTGACTAGAATCTCCTAATTAGGCCCATTTTAATATTATTTATTTACTGAATAAGCCTTGGCGAAGCAGACTACGACTTCCACATGCTGTGCGCCATTGTTTCTCTCATAGAGAAATGTTTGCAAATGCTTAGTGTAGGGTTTTTGCGAAAAAATTACTAACTAATAACGCGCCTACCCCTGGGAACATCGATTGCTTTGACCGAGCAAAGATCACTAACTTAAAGTTAGTTTAGCCTCATGTTTATTTGTTAATAAATTGTTTTTATTTGCTTTTTTGCGGTGTAGCGATTTTTCAAATCATCTCAAASSTTTGAGATGATTTGAAAAATCGCTACACCGCAAAAAAGCAAATAAAAACAATTTATTAACAAATAAACATGAGGCTAAACTAACTTTAAGTTAGTGATCTTTGCTCGGTCAAAGCAATCGATGTTCCCAGGCGTAGGCGAGTTATTAGTTAATGAGTGTGCTAATCTTGTTGTCAATTTACTTAATCGAGAATAAGAAGCGTCATCATCTACATTTTTGTCATCATCTAGTCTGGTGTTTTCGGATAACCATTTAACACATTTTCGGATGAATTCCAGATGATCTGATGCAGGAGTTATTTTACAATTTTGCATGAATAGCAAGTAGGTTTCTCAACATCGTCCATGTGCTTAAAAAAATCGCGTAATTTTATTACCGCCCCTGCGAGATCCATCAAAGCCTATGCACGATGGGTTTACACGCTATTCATGGTAGTAATCGACCTCGATGCATTCGCATTGTACGGTTTTGCTCGCGATTCTAATCATGCTTTATGGGGTTTTGTTTGCGTTTGACCCAGTTATTCAAAACACCCGTTTACAAGAGCCCCTTTCAGAGAGTGCGTTCTCTATTTGGCCTGCTGCTTATGCGTGAGGTTGAAACAAAGAACTTAGATTCTCAGTTTGATCGCGGTTGTCGGATTTTTCGTTTAAATTAGTTTTTATTTTCCTTTGACTTTATTCCTACGTTAATTAGTTCAAGTGGCCTTTTCTTTCCTCTGTGGGGTTCTCAGGACTAACTCCACGAAGCCGCCTTTCCATACTTTTCTGGGAGATTTTAAGAGTTGAATGTGCCAATCGAATTGGGGCATTGGGGTTGAGTATTTTAAACGTTTTCAAAGTGGGACTCCAGTTTGCATTCTAGGATTAAAATCAGATGATTTACTTGTAGTTTTGCGCCATTTAAGTTTAGAT